CCTCCGCACCCGCCACAGGCGGCCAGGGGGCCTCTTCGATCCCCATCGATCCTCGATCTTCCCCTCGTCGAGGGCCTCCCCGAGCCTCCCCGAGCCCCCCCCGAGGCCCCCCCCGAACCTCCTCGAGGCCTCTTTTGACCTCCTCGATCGTCGGTTTTCCCCGGGGATGGGGGGGGCGGGGAGCCGCTGCGAGGTGCGGCCCAGGACGGCGAGCAAAAACTGCGAGTTCTCGGGTTCGAGTTAAAAAGTGTTTGGGCGATGTCGCGGGCCGTGTTCGTTTTGGTTTCGTTAGGCAGTAGAGGTGTAGCGAAGACAGAACGAGGGATAACGAACACAAAACGAGAACGAGAAACATTGTCTATTTCCAGGCATGGCGAGTTCCTGTCTGTCTCCGGCTTCTCTGTGAACATACACTCTGGGATCTGTCTTTGATTTGCGCTGGATCCCCTGCAGCGGCACGTCGGGCACCGCCCCTGGCGCGCTCCGCGCGCCAGCTAGAGAGGGGGTTCCAGCGCCGATCCAAGGGACCTGCGCGAGGTCTCCGTACTATTCTGCTTGTGCCGCTGTCGAGGCGCACGCAGCGGGGTTCAGCGCAAACGGGGCTCAGCCAGCATGGCCCGATCCTGCAGGATCTTGCGAAGCTGGAGTTTGTCTGGGCCGGGTCTGGGAGCCCCTCGTTGCCCTGGAGGCATGTGGCCTCAATCACTTCTTGGCTGAGCCGGGTTTGGAACGCCGCCCGAAAAATTGCAGCGCATTTTTTCAGAATTGAATTGGCTGAGCTGGCTTCTTGCTAAATACACGCCCGAAGGTAATTCGGAGGAGGAAAAGGCACAATTATCGAGCCGTTGTCTCGTTTTCGCCTGTTCTCGGCCTCCTGGGAGACCCTCGTCGCCAACGCTGAATTTGCATCGAAATTCTGCTTTGAATGTACCCCGGGAGTAGTCGGGGGAGTGGCGGCAGCAGAACTGTTTGGTTTCCCCTGTCACTTGTTTCATATCGGATTGCCCTGTTCCGAGAGGGAGAAGAGGTGGCGTATCAGGAGTAGCGCAAGAGGCGCGGCCCCTTCTTCCGTAATTTGCGTCGATGTACGTTCGCGATCGAGCTGTATTCGGATACACTAAGTTGCGTTCATCGAAGTCACTTTTTTCCCACCATCCTGTGTGAGTTGGGCCTTCGTTTTGAACCATCAGTGCTCGCGTCTCCTCCTCCGCCTCATTCTTCCTCTGCACCACACGTTTCGTGGCCTCGTACCATCGGAAGCGAAGGCGAGACAGCCACATCAAATGAACACTGCCTGGCATGTTTGAAATATGTGTGCCTCTTGGGGGCTCTCTTGGACCATCTTGGGCCATCTCGGGCCATCTTGAGGCCTCTTGGAGCTGCATTTGGGCTATCTTGGGGTCTACCACCCATAGATCCCACCCTTGTGCCCTCTTGGAGCCCTCTTTTGGCGCTCTTGGGGCGCTCTTGTGGGTCCTTACGGCCCTTCCTCAGCACTTCTGGATTCGTCTTGGAGCTATCGTGCGCGATCTTGGAGCTATCTGGAGGCGTCGCTTGGGAACGCAACGGCGAGCATTCGGCCAGAGTTAGCAACTTGGGGGCTATATGGTACCATGTTGGGTCACATTGGATCTATTCTGGGTCTGCTTGGGGGCCAGCTCGGAGCTTACCGCCGACAGAGCCATGCTCTTAGGCTGCTCTGGGGCCATCTTGCAGCCATCTTGGTGCCCCCTCGGGGCGCCCCTGGCGCACACTTGGGGGTCTTCGGAGCCCGCTAGGATCTCGAAGCCCATAGTCGGCTACTCTTGGAGTTATCTTGGGCGATATTCGAACAATCATGAGACCTCAGACGCCAGTCGGAGGCGAGAAGGCGAGACAACCAAAGCACTGATGAACCAAATGGATGCTCAGTGATTTTTACATCTTGCGGCTATCCGTGGGGGCATCCTTGGGACCTTCGTGGCCACTTGGGGCCTCCTTGTGGCGGTCTTGGGGCAGCCACGAAGCATGCTGGAGACAACCCGGCGGTCTGAAAAGGCCGAGTTGCCGCGCGAGAAGCGTCCTGGTGGTATCTCAGGGGAGGGAAAGGTACCCCGCCACCTTTTCCTCGTTCTCCCCTTTTTGGGCCTCCTGGGAAGCCCTCGTCGCCACCGCTGGATTCGCATCGAAATTCTCGTCAGATCGAACCCTAGGAAAGGTCCTTGGAGTAGCGGTATGGGTACCTTTTGGTTTCCCCAATATCGTTGGTAGGTGGGGTGGCCGCTTATGGAGGCTTTTGTGGCCGCGCTTCCAGCGGCGAACTTGATTGGGACTTGACCTTGACTTGTTTTCCCCCCGTCGATCCCCATGGTTAGGATGCAACTCCTGGGAGATTCAATTCAGGATCTGCGTTGGCATATTCCTGATCGAGGACGGGCCTACTCTGCTCCAGTCTCGCTGAATCTGGCCAATCTTGGTTAATCCAGCTGTATCACGCTTAATCTGGCTCTATCCTGGGCATGGTCCGACCTAACCGGGCTCAATGGCTTTGTAATTCGATTTGACAAAGACCTCCGAGGAGTTGCCTCCTAACCCAGGAGCCGCCACGCGCGCGATATAGAGAATACAGCGATTAGTGATGAGTTATGACCTCGCAACAGGGAGTACGCATATGGCCCGTGGGGCCAGCGACTAGGAGGGCGGCGATGAACAGTGAGACGGCGGAATAGGAGGGAGGATGGTGAAAGAGGAGGGGGGAGATGCGAAGGAGAGGGAAAGGAGTAGCAGCAGGAGGAGACCCAGGAGGAGGAGGAGGAGGAGGAGGAGGAGGTAGAAGAGGACGAGGAGGAGGAAAAGAAGGAGCAAGAGTTGGGGAGGGAGCAGAAGGGCGGCAGCAGCAGCAAGAGGGGAAGAGGAGGCGGCTGAGCAGCGGCAGCAAGACGGAGCGGGGGACGGACGGTGCAAGGCACGAGCGGGCGATTCAGGGGCAACGTTAGAAGGGGTAGGCTCAGTGGGAGGATGGAGGATCGAGGAGGGAGGATTGTCGAGGATCGAGGAGGATCGAGAATCGAGGATCTACAAAGACAACAGAAGAGGAGCTCGGGGGCTAAGTAACGTTCGGAGGAAGGAGGTGGGGGAGACGTATCGGACGAGTCATAGCTTCTCGGAGGTCCGCGCGGATTTCTTGGATCGGCGTTGGTCCCCACTGGCGGCGCCTCCGGCGCCGCCCCTGTCGCGCTTCACGCGTCAGCGAGGGGATCCAGCGCCGATCCAAGATATCCGCGTGGACCTGCGAGACATGTTGTGTGTGCCTTTTTTGTTTCTCTGTGATCCTCGACCGGGGCCCGATAGGCTCCGCCACAACGGGCGACCAAAATGCAGGTGAATAAAAAGGCCCTGTTGTCACCCGCCCGACGAACGGTCTTACACCGTCCTTGGGTGCGTCGCTGAAGAGGGATTCGGCCGCGCGGAGTCTGCTTGCCGAGTCACCACTTTGAACGAATAATTGTTGTCGATCCCCCTTCCGGTTCACCCTCTGTATCGTCTAAGTTGAAGTGTTCCTCCCGGCTCGGGCCCCGTATTCTACAAGGGAAGGTCTTGAGTCTCAGAATGTCTTGATCGCCCCCCGAACTGCAACGTCGGTTCCCGCCTGGAACGTCCTAAATGTTTCTTCAAAATCGTGCTCTCGCGCGGGACTCCCTCGCAAGTTCTGCAGGGATCGCGCTCTCGTTCGGACGCCCTCGCCCTTTCTATTCAGACGCCGCGCCGCGCCCTCGACACTCAGGAATCACGCTCTCGCCTTCGGCCTCCTCACGATTTACTTGGGAGCCGTGCTGTCGCTCGAGACTTCCTCGCGATTCGTGCAGGGCTGACGCTTCAGCGACCCACCCGCTCGACCTGGCCGTCGGGGGCGCGCCCGACCCGCCCTGCTGGTTTTGCCGCGTGTTCTTCTGCTCCTGGCCACTCCTGCTAATCTCTCTCTCGTGCTCCATCCTCTCCCCTCCTTCTCCGAGTCGTCCGTGACTGCTGATGCCATTCCACAGTGCGCTTTCGATTATGGTAAGGTAGTGGCTCCCCGACCCGTTACATACCCAGTGAAGTCCCCATGGCTGGGTTTGGAGCTTGCTGGGGGGGACTCGAATTTGTTTTGACACCGCCAGGGCTACGGCAGCTCTTGTGCGCACAGCGGCCGCCCGTTGTTTCGAGGAGCTTTCGGAGACCATGAGCTGTTCCGCCGCCTCCCTTCCCTGCTACCTCCCTTCCCCTGTTTTGAGGGCTGCGCTAACTGCACGTGGCAGGCAAGGAAGACATACCCACAGGGGAGGCACGATCAAAGACGAAGAAGGTGGGCATCGATGGTTTGGTATCTGCGTGTTGAGCGACACTCGAGCAGGTCAGAGCGAACAGTCTCTCCATGATTGTTGTTGTCGTCGTCCTCGCACGCGACCCGCCCGTCGCCCACGCGCGACCCACCCGTGACCCACTCACCCACGACCCACTCACCCGCGACCCACCTGGGACACCCGCGACCCACCCCGCGGCCCACCGACATTGCTTTGACGAAATTCGGCACCTGCGGCGGGCTCGTTGCGCATTGTGTAAAACGTAAACATCTGCGTCTGCGGCGGCTTTCTCTTCACCTCTCCAGAGCCCCAGACTCCATCTTCTGGCTGCATTTTTCAAGCCTTATCGAGTCCCGGTGCCCGAAACGAGGCACCATGGCCGTTGCGGAACAGTTGCGGCGCCAGGATCTCGGGGGCCCCCCAGAGGCAGCTCCGCAAGTTCCGCACCCTCGACCGCGGCCGCAGCGTGCTCGTGGGCGGGCGCGGCGAGGGCGAGACGCTGGCGCGCTGGTCGTGGCGCGAGGCCGTGGGCGCGGCGGCCGACGACGACCCCGAGCCCGAGGCGGGCGACTGCTTCGTGCAGATGCGCCGGCGGCCGCGGCGCGCCTGGGGGAAACTTCGGTAGGGGATCGACTACAGAATTGATTTACCCCAGGATTTGCATGTTCGTGGAATGTACGGAGAACGCTCATAATTCTCAGTAGATTTACGAACATTCTAGGTTTTCGTTTTAGACTCGATGGGGGAAGTGAATCTTGGGGTACATCAAGTCTGTAGTCGATCCCTTCCTTGAAATTCTTTACGCTTCGCGTATCCCCACCAGCCCATCTCAAAACAGCAACTCTTGCGAAGCATACCGACAGTCGTGTTTTTCAGGCGTGTTTCCGCCTGCCCCCGCATATCTCCGGGCCTCTCGTCCTGTTGTGAGTCGTTCGGGCCCTTCCTGGTGTGAGTTGTTCGGGCTCTTCGTCGTGGTTTGAGTCGTTCGGGCTCTTCGTCCTGGCGTGAGTCGTTCGGTCTTCTCGTGATGTGAGTTGTTCGGGCCCTTCGTCCTGGTGTGAGTCGTTCGGGCTCCTCCTCCTGGTGTGAGTCGTTCGGGCTCCTCGTGGTGTGAGTCGTTCGGGGCCCTCGTCCTGGTGTGAGTCGTTCGGGCTCCTCGTGGTGTGAGTCGTTCGGGCGCCTCGTCCTGGTGTGAGTCGTTTAGGGCTCTCTGGGGCCTCTTGGGGGCCTCTTGGAGGCCTCTTGGGGGCCTCTTGGGGGCCTCTTGGGGGCCTCTTGGGGGCCTCTTGGGGCCTCTTGGGGGCCTCTTGGGGGCCTCTTTGGAGGGGGGCCTCTTGGGGGCCTCTTGGAGGCCTCTTGGGAGCCTCCTGGGGGCCTCTTGGGGCCATCTTGGGGCCATCTTGGGGCCTCTTGCGACCTCCTCAGAAGCGCAAATGAGAGCTGCCCCCTGAGAAGGACAAAATGAGCCGAAAACCTTCGTAAAATCAATGATTTTGCTATGAAGGAAGATGAGCGCGGCCCCCTCAGGACGCCAAAATGTAGTCGATCCCTTACTTGAAATTTAGGCTTCCCAGATGAGTCCGCATAGACGCATCGACGGGTTGGGATGCAACTCTTGGGAGGTCAGATTGAGAATCGGCGCTGTCATATCCGTGGTCGAAAACTGAGCCTGATCTCGATTCATCCAGACCCATCCGGCTTAATCCCGCTGAATCCCTCTTTGTCCCGTTTGATTCGGCTTCATCCTGGGCCTAATCTGGTCTACTCAATGGCCCCCTCCTCGGGCTCAGTCGACCCTACTCGTTCTGACGAAGACCTCCAAGGAGTTGCCTTCTAGTATGGGGTCGGGGGATCGCGCCGCATCGCCGATGCACCGGCGATGCGGCGCGATGTGCACGCAGACGGCGCCGAGGGCCCGCGGGACCGAGCCAGGCAGGCGCTTGGCCGGCGGCGAGCGACGACGGCGACGACGGCGACGACGGCGACGACGACGACGACGACGACGACGACGACGACGACGACGAGCTGATCGACCTGGTCGGTCCTCGATGTTTCGGCGATGCGGCGCGATCCCCGTGAGGCGCGAGCACCCGGCCGCCGTGGGCGCCGCCCCGCGGCCCGAGAGCGGCTGGCAGCACCCGCCGTCGCGGCGGTGGAGCTCACGACGGGGGGGGGCAGGTAGCGCTCCGGGCCCACGGCGGGTTGCCACCTGTTCCTCCTCCTCCTCCTCCTCCTCCTCCTCCTTCTCCTCCGCCTCGTCAGCTCCTTCTCAGCTCCTCCTCCTCCTCTTCCTCCTCCTCCTCCTCCTCCTCCTCGTCAGCACCTCTTCAGCTCCTGCTCCTCCTCCTCCTCCTCTTCTTCCGTTCTTCCGCCTCCTCCTGCTCCCCGTCGCTGTCCTCCCTGTCCTCCCTTCTCCTTGGCAGCGGGGGGTGCGTCGACACCCAATCTCGACGAAGAAAAATAGCATGCACATAATGTTTCGCATGTCCACGCAGGTTTTTCGGATCCCCATCCCCATCCCCAAAGGGCCATGGTATCTCATCACCACCGTCCCACCCCTCAGCTGGGGATAGGCCTCTCAGCCTATATATCCCCATCTGGGGGGGGTAGATCGGCTGGTGGGGCCGAGGCCCTGCCAGTGGGGATGGAGGTCGGTTGCACGATGCTTACCAGCAGGGAGGGTGGGTGATGCGTCGACCCCCAATCGTGGGTTGAGGGTCGAGGACGAGTCGAGAATCGAAGGGGGGGATCGAGGATCGACGTCGCCGTGCCTGGTCGGAGGAGCGGGGCGGGACTATGGGAGGGGGTGGTGCTGCGAAGCCAGCCGCGTGCACCGGGGTTTCCGGGCCCGCCGCCCAGCGCCCTCGGCACACCGGCCGCGCCTCCCGGCGCTCGGGAAGCCCTGGGATGAAACCAGTTGCGTGAGTTGTTCCGCCACACAGTGGAGGCCCATGCCAAGAAACACCCTGCTCGCCTCCAGGTTGCCCTGGGTTTCGCGAGTGTGGGTGGTCCTGCGACGGACAACGTGACGTCCCCATGATCAAAAGTCGATGGACGTCCTGGGGTCCCAGTGTCGGGTCTCTTGTGTGAGGTTTCTTGTGGTCGAGCTCCTGCTGTGGCCCCCCCTTTACTTACTATGTGCTATCTTTTTCTTTCGTCCGATCCGACCAGGATGGATGGCATCGACCCCCAGTCGCCCACTGATCGCCGATACAGGGGCCTGATAGCCCACCCCGCTCAGCAACGTGAAGATCCGCGATCGGGGAACCGTCTCCGACCCGTCCGCGTTGTGCCGCCTGTCTGCTGGACGGATCTCCCCCGTTCTCCGCCGCCTCGGCGTTCAGAGCGGGAGCGCGCTAGAGCCACAGGAGTGCGCGGCGCTGACAGCGCAGCTCTGTGGAGACCAAAAGGTACCGAAACCGCCCGCCACTCCCCGGGCCTCTCTTGGCTTGCGTTCTGACCAGGACTTCGAGGCGAATCCAGCGGCGACGACGACGGAGGCCCAGGAGGCCCAGGAAGGGGAAGACGAGGGGAGGGCAATTCGAGGCATGGGTACCTCTTCCTCCTCGGAGGCTCCGCACGCGCGCCGGGTGCCCCCTGTCGCGCAAGGGCACGCAGCGGGCACCCCGAGGGGCACAGCGAGGTCGCCGCACCCCCTCCCGCGGACGGGCCCCCCCCCCCCCGAGGAGCGCGGCCCCCGTGCCCGACGTCGGGCTCCCCGAGTGGGCCTCGCAGCTGCCGGGGAGGCCTTCCCGCCGTCGTCGTGCCGGGTCGGGCGAGAAGAGCATCCGGTCTCAAGCAGTGGCGGAGCGTCCTGGCTCGCCTATAGCCCTACCAGACAATGTTCTGAGGACCTTGTGTAGTTTCCACGAGATGTTCTCAGAACATTTCTGGTGGAGATCGTCTTGTTTAAACACATCGGGATTTATGTTCTAAGAACATTGGTTTTGTTCTTAGAACATTTTTGGGTTCCAAGAACATTACATGGAAGGACTATAGGAATGCTGGGACGGTCGGTCCCTGCTCAACGGTCGGGCCTGTCCCGCTGCAGGAGGAACGTCCAAAAACAGTCAAACATAGTCTGGGGTCATTTTTATATGATTACGATTCATATGACTAGTGGCTTTTGGTTGAGCGCTTGTTGGGGTATTGCTGTCAGTTCGTCCAACATCCGCCCGTCGGAGGACATGCCCGACCTAAGAATAGCAGTTGCCGAGGTGGCCCCACTTCTAGATAGTGTTCAAAACGCCGGAGACGTTTTGCTCTAGGCCTCCCAGATGGGGTCGGAGCAGATGGGGTCGAAGGGCTTCGCCAGATCGCCGATGCATCGGCGATGCATCGGCGATGCGGCTGGATGTAGAGCCCGATTTCCTTCACGCCGACGTTGCCGATGCATCGCTGGCGTCGCGGGTGCATCGCGAATGCATCGGCGATGCATCGCCGATGCGGCTCGATCCTCCGACCCCATCTACTCCGACCCCATCTAGGAGGCCTCTATTTTTCCCGTTTTCAGGATTGGCGTTTTTTTTTCGGTTGTGGGGTATATGTTTCTCCCGATGTTGGACCCTCTCTCGCGCCGTTTTCGGTTTGGCCCCCATTCCGTATGGCAGTTCTGGTCTGGTTTGCCGCTGTTTTTTCCGCCATGGCGGGTGCCGAACACAAAGGTTTAAACGCCTCCAGTGTCTGTAAGATGAAGTGGGGATGTTGGATCTCATTGCCCCCGACCCGTCTCGCACACCCTGCGTGCCGCGGCCGCCAGGCGCCGGTGCTTCTTCGGTATCTAGTCTCGCGCTCTCAGGTGGTGATCCATCGCTCGGCTCATTGAAAAATTTGTTTTTTGTTATTCAATCGCTTCGCTCATTCCGCCAGCCCGTATTCTGTCATCGCAGGCGTTTGCCCGCGCGTTTGTGGCCTCTTGGGGCCTCTTGAGGGCCTCTTAGGGGCCTCTTGAGGGCCTCTTGTTGGGCCTCTTTGGGGCCCCGCGGGGCCTCCAGGGGATCTCCGGAGCTCTCTTGGGGGCCTCTTGTGGCCTCCTGTGGACCTTCCAGGGCGGACGGCTCGACTTGGTGGTTCGTGTTCCCCTCGTGGGCCCCTCTTGGGGCCGTCGTGTGGCTCTCTTGGGCGATCTTGGGCGCCTCTGGGACCGTTTCGGGGCCCTCTTGGATCGTCTTGAGGCCCTCTTTGGGGCCCCTCGGGCTGTCTTGGGGCGGTCTTGGGGGCCCCTGTGGCCATCTTGGAGCGTCGGATGCCCGAACACGCGCAAGGTAAATCTATGATTTGTGCTTCTCTTGGCCCTCTTTGGGGGTCCTCTTGGAGCGCTTTTCTCTGGGGCCTCTCTGGCAGTTTTCGGGCCCCCTTGGGCGTCTCGGAGCGCTCCTGGGCCGTGATTCCGATTCGTGGGCACTCTGGGAGCTGCCTTGGGGTTCCTCGGGCCGCTCCTGGGGCGATCTGGAGGGCCCCGAAAACCGCCCCCAGGAGTCCTGGAGTTCTGGCATTAAGTCGGGCCTTTCCTTATACAGGGGGAAAATAATTCAAGAATAGTACAAAAATAGTCAGGGGACTATTTTTCAGTATTTGTAAATATTTGTGGCATATTTTGGGGGTATTTTTTATTTTTCGTCCAACATCGGCCTGTAGGGGGACAGCCCCGACTTAACCCCAGGAGTCCAGGAGTTCTGGCATCCTTGAGCGGACCTTGCCGGGAGTCGGCCGGGTACTGTTCGTCTGGGGACCCCCAGGGGCCAGCCACTAGCGCGAACTAGAATATATCCATCGTCTGTGAGCCAGTTGCTAGAGATCTCAGCACGCCTCTGGCCCGCTGGGACGGGTGGTGAGCGATCGCTCGAGACAACAAGCACGTGTTTTTTTTGCTACGTCATTGCCCCTCGGAGGGTGCTTCGTTTTGAGCTACGCAGTCGCGATGCGATGCTATGCTCGGCTTCACAGTCGGATCTCGGTGTGCACGCAAGCACTCGGCAACACCTTCTTGATATTTCCCACGAAGAGATGCCAATCACGCGCTCTTCTGCCCACGCGTCCTTCCGGATGCTCGGCTTCTCGCTCGCTCGCTCGCCCCTCGTCGGACGGGGCTAGTACTAGGACAAATCCGTGCCAGAGCGTTCCCGAACGCTCTCAGAGCGTTCCCGAACGCTCTGAGGAGGCCACGTTTCCCCAGACATCCCCCAGAGCCGCCGAATGTAACCTCGTCCTGGCTTCGTCTTACCCCTCGGATTCGGCAGCAAATCATGGGATCCGGGTATACCCTCTTAATTCCGTCTGTAGCGTCGATTAGCGTCGATTAAGCGTTTGGGAGTCAATGAGATAGCGCCGATGGCGCGTCGGCTAGCGTCGTCTAGCGTCGACTTGGCGTCGATTCGCCTCGAGTAGCGTCGATTTGAATCGGTTCGCAAGAGCTGACAAGATGGTATAGGATGCTTCCATGAGTTGCCACCGAACTCTTCGGATGCAACTCCTGGGAGGTCAAATTCTGATTTTGCCCTGGTCCGAAATCCGGCTTAATCCCGTTTAATCCCGCTGAATCCCGTTCAATCCCGCTTAATCCGAGGCCCACTCCGGCGTAACAGCTCCCAAATGGGGCTATACTCTTCCTTACTCTTTCCGACGGAAACCTCCCAGTAGTTGCCTCCTAAGAGCTCGGAGGCACATGGCCATCTTCTTCGCCATGTACGCGCTCGTGCGCCTCGCGCTCAAGGTGTGGCAGGCCGTGCTCTGGGGCCCGGCCGTCCCCGGCTGACGCGGCGCCGGCCCCGGCGGCTGCGGAGGCTAGCGGAGTCGCTGCGCGTTTGCGTTGCGTCTTCGGGGGCCCTTCTCCGATCGAGCCGATTCTCCACCACCACCGCCATGGGCAGGACGGGGGAGAAGGGAGGATGGTGAGGTCCTCCTCCTCCTTCTCTTCCTCCTCCTCCTCCTCCTCCTTTTCTTCCCTCTTCTCCTCCTCCTGTTCCTCCTCCTCCTCCTTTTCTTCCCTCTTCTCCTCCTCCTGTTCCTCCTCCCTCTTCTCCTCCTCCTCCCCCTCCGCCCTCTTCTCCTCCTCCTCCTCCTCCTCCTCCTCCTCCTCCTCCTCCTCCTCCTCCTCCTCCTCTCCAGCCAGCGCGTATGGCGGCCCAACATTGGCGCTGCCACCCTAGTTTCTTCCCACGTGCTGCCCCTAATCGAGGCAGCCTCCACCCCCTTGTCCCTTCCAACGCCGATCGCCCGCTCCGCCGCATGACCCCGTCTTCCTCCCCCCTTCGCAACATTTCGCCCCCTGCTAGTCGGTAGGGGAGGGCAGGGTCGTTCAGCCGCCAGATGGTCGCTGCTGCGGCCGCTGCGCGCAGACTGCCGCCCTCTAGGAAGCCGTCTTGGGGGTTGCTAGCCCGGGCTGGCCCCCATCTTAGCAGCTCCCACAACAGGCTGCGACTTGGGGGGTCCCCAAGCAAAGGGTGTCACCCATTAGCAAATCTTTCGTGTTTCCTGTCCCACCGAGTAACTGCTAATGGCGGCCCGCTCGCAGACCTGGAAGATAAGTCAGTGATCCTCCTCCTTCCTCCTTCCTCCTCCTCCTCCTCCTACCTAATGTTATGGTGGTGGAAAATTGGCCCAAACAAGGGGGTGGAGTGAGAAGCAGAAGGCCTGCTCAGAAGGCGGCGAATATCGGAACGAGCGAGGCACGAGTGATGACGTTCTAGCGTACGGCGAAGCCCTCTAGGGAGGGGTTCCAGGCGAGGTTTCCGGGGGGAACGTTTGAGTGTTAACGGCCGCCGGGGCTCCATTTCCTTCGTCGTCAACGGAAAGAGCGAGGTACGAGTGATGACGTTTTTGTGTGGGGCGAAGCCCTCTAGGGAAGGATTCCAGGGGAGGGGCGAGGGGGGCACGCGTGCGTCTAATGGCCGCCGGGGGTCCGCTTTCTTCGTATGTTTTCGAGTGAAGCGGGTCGCGGGCGCCTTCCACGGCCCGTTTCCTTGTATTCCCCAACCATCCCGTGGGTCTGTCGCCTCCTCGGGGTCTCCTGCGTCCGAGCCTTCTCTCCCTCATCGGGGCAGGTGTTTCTCCTAACGCCCGCTGAGGGAGGCCAGGCCCCCGGACTCGTGGGCCCCCTATCGTGGGCCCCCTGTCGTTGCCCCCATTATGTCCCTCCATCGTGGCCTCCAATCGTGGCACCTTATCGTGGTCCCACATCGTGGTTGTGCAAAGCTGTTCAGGGTCTTTACCGCAAGAATGTGGCTTGTTGAATCCTGACCTGTTCTTTCTTCGATCTCGGCCACTGGGGCCCCGGGGCCCATGGGGCCTGGGCCACCAAACATTGCTCCTGGACGCAAGGAACAAGAAAAGAGGCTGGGTACTCCAGACCCACAAGCTGAACATATCATATCGGATTTTGTCTGGGCAGGTGCACGAGACGAGCAGAACCTTGGCCCAGGCAGCCTATGATGAGGTTGAGTCATACCAGAGCGTTCTAGAACTTTCTCGCAACGCTGGTCCCATATTTCCCTCCTTCCTCCGTCATCCTCTCCCCTCATCCTCCTCCCCCTCGTCCTCGTCCTCCTCTTCCCTCTTGCCTCTTCCCTCCCATTCCTTCCTTCTCTTTCCACCCTCCCTCCTCCTCTTCCTCCTCCTCGTCCTCCTCCTCCTCCTCCTCCTCCTCCTCCTCCTCCTCCTCCCCACCCTCCTCCCCTTCCTCCTGCTCCACAGTTTAAAATGTTCACGAGTCTCCCTCATCCCCTGAAGTTGTCCGGAAGATCTCCCGCCCCCTCCACGTATTGCGTTTTCACACAGGTTTTCACACACTGATTTCCGCATGGCTCTTTACAGTCCGATTGATTGTCTTCGGTGATTCAAGATTTTGCTCCCGCTGCAGCGTGGGCCGAATTTTCCGGATCGTCGTTTTGCTCCCGTCGTTCAGAATGGCGCTCCCGCCCCAGCGCTGGCCACTTTTGTGAATCCGAGCCTTGCTTCATCGTGGTTCTCCCCTCCTTTCCCCTCCGCCTTCCCCTGGTCCTCCTGTTCCTCCCGCTCCTTCCACTCCAGTTCCTGTTGCTGCTGTTCGTCTCGCCCCAGCGCGGGCCTCTGAATCCGAGTCTTCCTTCATCGTTGTTGCCTTTCTCAGATCTCCTCCTCCGTCTTCTCCTGGTCCTCTTTTTCCTCCCGATCCGTCCGCTTTAGTTCCTGCTGCTGTTGTTCGTTCTCCTCCTCTTCCTCCCGCTTATCCTCCTGCTTACCCCCCATCCTGCTCCTCCCCCTCCTGTGCACGCAGCTCTCCCTCCTCCGATTGCGCATAACACGAAATGGTCTTTCTGTGAGAGTCGCAGGTCGGCCATGACACGCGTCCGCAAATAGAGAAACGTCGATGCCATGGGAAGGGGTGGCAGGGGGATAGGATGCCAGATGGGGCGCCAGCGCGCCTAGCTTGACCTCTCCTCCCCTCCCCTGTCCTCATCCAGCCGCGCTTCCCATTTAGGTCCTAGGCCCCCCTGAGCGCCGCCTCTGCTACTAGCATGCCGCCGTGGAGTAGGTACCGCGGAGGCCCGCCGAGGAGGGAAGAAAACAGCGAGGCGGAAAGGACAGAACCTGCAGAGGATTTATTATCGAGGCTCGCAGGGTGGATCTCGATCCGCGTCGACAGCGGCTTTTTCAGTAGCATTCGGCGGCGAGCGAGGTTGGGAAATGATAAGGAGAAGGCTTTCTCAGAAGGCGCCGGGACTTCTCAGAAGCCCTCGCTCCTTCTGAGAGGTTTTTTTCTTCGGGGAAGGCACTTCTGAGAAGGCTGGGGGACTTCCGAGCCTTCTGAGAAGGTCCGCTCCTTCTCACTTTCGCCCCCCCCCCCGCGCTCGCCGCCGAAGCAAGCGGTGGGATCCTTGTATACTCTCGTAATTCCGTCCTTGGAGTGCGGTCACACCGATCAGCGTTTGATAGTCGATGAGAAAATGCGCCGACTTAGCGTCGAGGAGCGCCGATCGGCGTCGATTTAGAGTCGATCAGCGTCGACTCGCAATAGCCAGCAACATCGTATGGGGGGCTCCCATGAATTGCAGACCGAGGGGTTGTAGAGGCTCACAGATTTCGATTTCGATGTGCTTCCACATCGGCTTCGGCCGGCCAGTTCCGATATTCGGTCCCCGTGAGCGTGTGTCCGACGATCTGATGTGGCTCGGTGCTTGCATGGCGCTGCCGTGGCGTCCAGGCGCGGCCGATCCGATTCGATTCCGATTCCGTGCCGATGGGTCCAGATTCCAGCGGCGAGGCGGCAGGACCCGACGCACTTTCCCATCCGACCCGGTTCCTACAACCCTCGTCAAAATTAACCTCAAAAATGTCTGACGTGGTTGATTTGCTTGTCGGAAGATCTGGGGCCGAGTATCGATGAGTGCGGGGTACTTGCATGCGCCGCCCCTCCAATGTCGGTCGACGTCAAGCTTTCGAGTCAACTCCGGTCAGACTATCTTTGCCCTCGCCCCGACAGTGAAGGGGCGGCGTGTCGACATTGAGGAGCGCACCGAAATCGAAATGACGTGCCAGCAACTGTTGAGGTTACTTTTGACGAGGGTAGTAGGGGGCCACATGCGAACCCTACCCCCACCCCCCACGATTTCTGAGGGGGAGGGCGGGGCTCGCTTCGCTCGGGAGCTCCCGAGGTAAGTGAGCCCCACCCTCCCCCTCGGGAATCGTGGGGGGTGGGGGTAGGGTTCGCATGTGGCCCCCTGTGTGTTCCCCGACTCGATGCCGACTGGTCCCGAGAGTTGTGTCGCTGCCTCTGCGAGACGTTGGGGGGTATTCTGGGGTGCCCCCGTGGCCTCGGCGGGACTGCTCGAGAGCCTCGCCCGGACGCATCCTGGGAGAGGTCTGGACGTCGGCCACCTTGAATCAGACATCGAGCGTAAAACACAACAAAGACACGCATAGCGGCAAGCTCTTCCACTCCACGGGCCCTGGGACCATCCAGAGATTGTTGGCCTCCGAGCCTGTTGGGCAGCTCCGGGGGGGGCTCTTGGCGGTCCCTGGGCAATCTTGGCTCAAGATGGCTCGTGGGGCCAGGTCGGGTTCTTCCCCCCTCCGGGGCTGAACGTGCTCAAGAGCATTCGTCTTGTTAAGATTTGGTTGCCTCTGGAAAAGTTTAGCGGGGATTTCCATCAGCGTCCAAGAACACGAGAACTCGGGCCTCCCTAACAAAATATCATTGACAATGTTCAACCCATAGAACTCAGAGGGACCTGACTATGCTCAATTCATGGCAACACGGTGGCGGGTACGCATGTGTTCTACCGCCCATGTCTATGCTGTGTGCTGTCCAGGGGCCCTGGGAACGTGGCCACCGCCGAGAACATCGGAACCTTAGCTGGGCCGCGGATTGCTGTGCGTTGCGCGTATTGGAGAGAGCGCAGCCTTTCTAAATAGTTCGCAGTTCGCCGAAACGTATTCTTGCGTAGTTGTTTTGCATGTATACAGGGTTCGGAGTTATGTGGCACACTGTCGAATGAAACGCTACCAATGGACTCCATAGGACAACGAAAAAGTACTTCGCATGCAATCCATCGCAACTAAGCTCCATCTGGGCACGTAGTAGGCAATTGGCGGGAATAGCCACACGGAAAGTATGCAATTGTCAACCAGTGCCTACGTGCATACGAGATAGTATCACTGCTCGTGGTTAGTCGTCGGTTGGGAAGTGTTGGCGGGGTAAGTTTCCAAGCGGCCAGTAGAAAGTAGCTGGTTTTCAGTCTTTGTGTCCGTGGCCCATGTCAGGAGCTGGGGGCCTAGGAGAGCGTGGCGGGCGGCAGCTCGCAGAATTCGGGCCTGGGCCAAGGGAAAACACCGAGGGCGAACGGCCCCTTCTGCGTGCCGAGTGGAGTCAGTGGGCCGACCCTTCGAAATTCAAGGCTGCCCTCGTGCCCTCGGAAGGTTTTTCGTCTGCGTCCTGCCGCGTGCCCTCGCCAAGGAGGGAGGGCCGGCGCTGTCTCGGCAGCGGCCCTCCCCTGACGTCGGCACCTGGCCCCCGCGGACACCTCCGACCCGGGCCCCCGCCCTGCTCGGATATGGGGGCGGCGGAGTCAGCGAGGAGGAAGAGGGGCCGGGACGACGAGGAGGAGGGGGAGGGGCAGGGGGAGGAGGAGGGGGAGGAGGGGGAAGAGGGGGAGGAGGAGGAGGAGGAGGAGGAGGAGGAGGAGGAGGAGGAGGAGGAGGAGGCGATGAGTTCCATCCCCGGCAGAAGGGCTCAGTCCCCAGCAGAAGGGCTCAATCCCAGGATGCAGGTACAGTCCCAGGCCGAAGGGTCCATCGAAGTGGCATTCACCCTAGTTACATGTCAAAAGCAAAGGAGACTATTGAGCTCATAATTTCCATGCGAATCCTTACGGTAAGCACATGAAGTCAGGGACCAGAGATGGAACCCTTCTGGGGTTACATATATTGTCATCTTCATAGTACTGGCCCTGGTAGAATTGAATGCATGTCCTTCCAGATGGAATCACATTGCGTATCTAACCGGATCCAATGCGGTCTTGCTGGAATGCCATCGAATTCTTCTCTAACGGATTCCTGATTCTTCTGGTTCAGATCGGGATCTTGTTGGCATCCAATCGGGTCCCTTCCTGCGGGGGGCCTATTCGCATCCTATTGCAAGCCAATTGGAGTTCCAAGCTTCCCTGCCATGGGTGACCTACTGGGTTATTTCATTGATCCCTCATGGGGTCCACTAAGATTAATTGCCGCTGGTTTCCTATTGCGTAGGTTTTTTCAGAAATCAATTGCAACCAAGTAGTACATGTCATCATGTGGGATACACTTGGATTCCAAGCGACTTGGTTCCTATCGGAACCCAAATTGGGTTCCGAGTTGGACTCGAGTAGAACAAAAAGAATTGCTCTTGTTGGATTCCCGTTGAAGTTGTCTGTGTGCGATTATTGGCAGCAGCGCATTTGGTGCGTGCTGGGCTGATGCCACGAGCACTGCGGAGAGGGCCTCAAGAGGCCCCCCTAGCGTTGTTTATTTGTTTTGAGCTGGCTTCCAGGAGTTGCTGCCTGTGATAATCTTATCGAACGACGTGGTTTAACCAAACCTGATGGATCCCCGTATACACCCTCTCTGAACACAGCCCTGTGGTTCCAGCTCACATTTATGTATTTGGCGTATATGTGCAGTAGTGCGGCTCCGTGCCAGGGTATCAATACACTGAGGACTAAGCTTGCAGGCACAATGCACTGGACATGACTCCTGGTAAGCTGTCACACCCAACTATTGGACGAATGTGTCGTGATTAATGTACCGCTAACAATGTGTGATGTGGGTGTTGTGCATCCATGTGTGTATACATACAGATGCACACACACACATGTGTATTTATGTATATGTGTATGTATGTATGGATGGATGGATGGATGGATGAATGTATAGATGTAGGTTTGTATGTATGCCTGTCTGTCTGTCTGTCTGTATGTATGTATGTATGTATGGTAATGTATGGTAATGTAATGTAATGTAATGTAATGTAGTGTAGTGTAGTGTAATGTCATGTATTGTATTGTAATGTTATGTCATGTCATGTCATGTAGTGTAATGTATTGTAATGTAATGTAATGTAATGTAATGTAATGTAATGCAATGCAATGTAATGTAACGTAATGTAATGTAATGTAATGTAATGTAATGTAATGTAATGTAATGTAATGTAATGTAATGTAATGTAATGTAGTGTAGTGTAGTGAAGTGCAGTGCAGTGCAGTGCAGTGCAGTGCAGTGTAGTGTAGTGTAGTGTAGTGCAGTGTAGTTTAGTGTAGTGTAGTGTACTGTACTGTCATGTCATGTCATGTCATGTAATGTAATGTAATGTAATGCAATGCAATGCAATGCAATGTAATGCATGCCTGCATGCATGTATGTATGTATGTATGCATGCATGCATGTATGTATGTATGTATGGCGGCGGTGCCCGGTGCGGAGCGACCCCCCCCGGTAAACTCAATCTTGGGTGGTTTCGAGCTGGCGGCACCGCCGGTGCGAGCCGGCACGAACCCCCCCGGTAAGCACGAACCCCCACGGTAGCCGGCACGAACCCCGCAGGTAAGCACGAACCTCCCAAATATGCACGACCCCCCCCCGGTATGCACGAACCTCCACCCCGATGCGTGACCGCCCCCAGGACGTGCTGGAATAAGGCGGCACCGCTCTTCTGTACGCGGCCGTTCCGTCGACCCCTCCCATGAGGCTCGGAACGTCGTCCGGAGCAGGTGGCCCCCCCGGGAGTTGCAGCTGCCTCCTGTTGCCACGTGCCCAGCAATGTCGCCAACAGCGCTGCCAGTTCCTCCTGCTCCTCCTCCTCCTCCTCCTGGACATCGCGCTTCCGCGTGTGCGTTCTCCACCACATTGGCCCACGAGGCGCTCCAGAGAGCCCCATGGACGGCTTGCGACAGCCCCAAGACGGCTCGACTGGACGCCACCCAAGGATGTTCAAGACGCCACACCTCCGCAGGGAACCCCCCACCCCACTCGCACCTCCGCCCCACCCCACCCCCCACTCCCACCCCCCCACTCCCACAGGGGGGGGGGTCCAGGTCGAAGCCCCCCCCGTGCGGCCTGCACGAACCCCCCCGTTAGTGGGGGGGGGGGGGGGTCGTGCCACGGGGCAGCGCCGACATATATGTACGTATGTATGTACGTATGTATGTACGTATGTATGTTTGTATTTGTATGTGTGTGTGTATGTCTGTATGTATGTATGTATGTATGGATGGATGGATGGATGGGTAGATGAATCAATGTATGTATGAATGTATATACGTGTGTATGTCTGTATGGATGGATGGATGGATATATGCATGTATGAGTGCATGCATGTATGGATGTATGTATGTACGTATGTATGTAGGAGGCTCGCGACGAATTAATAATACGAATAGCAATAATAATAAGAAGAATAATAAGAAGAATAAACATAATAATAAGAAGAAGAGGCTTGTCGACGTGGCCCAAATGGCGCGTCGGGGGGCCCCAGGGGTCGGAACGCCCATGAAGCCTCTCGTACGGCCCATCGGGCCTGTCAGGAAAGCCCAAAAGGCTAGTCGGGAGGCCAAATAGGCCAGTCGGGAGGCCCAAGGGGCCTGTCGGGAAAACCCAAGAGGCCCGTCTGGAGGCCCAAGAGGCCAGTCGGGAGGCCCAAGAGGCCCATCGGGAGGCCCGAGAGCCAAGAGGCGTGCCGGGATGCCCAAGAGGCCGAAGGGATGCCCGAACAGAATGTCGGGAGGCCCAAGAAGCCCCTCGGGATGGCCCAAGAGGCGTATCGGAAGGCACCCAATTGGGCTTCTCCGGAGGCCCATCCGGAAGGCCCAGAAGAGGCATGCCGGGGTGGGTCCAAGAGGCCTGCCGGCAGGGCCCGAGAGGCCAGTCGGGAGGCCCACGAGGCCCTTCGGAACGCCCAAGAAGCCCTCCGGCAGGCCCAGGAAGCACACCACAGCAACTCTCCGCGTCAAGGTTGAGCATTGCAATGTGCTTCCGGGGATGGAACCTGTGTGCCCGCAGGCCCCAGAGGCCTGTCTGGAGGTCCAAGAGGCCGCTCGGAGGGCCCGAGGGCCTCTCAGGGGGGGCCCAAGTGGCTTGTCGGAAGGCCCAGGCGGTCCGTCGGGGTGTCCAAGCGGCCAGTCGGGGAAACCCCAAGGAGCATGTCGGAACGCCCAAGAAGCTTTTGAGCAGGCCCAGGAAAGGGCACCACAGTAACTCTCAGCTTCAGGGCTGAGGCTATTGGAATTGGCTTTGGGTACAGTGCCGTTTTTTTAAACATGCTCCGCGTGCGGATCATGTATTAACATGCAGGGATTTAGTAGTCAAAACAAAGATGAGTTCATGCATGAACTCATTCATAAATCAATCATGTATTAACACATCCTATATGTTTGAAATCTATCACAAGCTGCCCTGTATTGAGCCCGTGCGCAAGGGACTGAACCCTTTTGCCGGGGATCGCTTCTCCTTGGAAGGGGGAGAAAAACACGGGGGGAGGGGGCAGGGAGGGCCTGTGTGCGGAGGACCCCCCCCCTTCCCTCCCAGACGCGCGTCCTCTGTGTCCTGTCCCGCTCGACTGGCTCGGCCAGGCGCTCGAGGGAGAGCACGGCGTCGGGGGACAGACCGCGCGCAGGACGACCCCAAGCCCACCGACGACCCCCTGTCGGTCCTCGACCAGGAGCGCCGCCGCCGCCTTCGGCCAGCAGCCCGGGAGGGGGAGGGGGGGAGGAGGAGGGGGAGGGGGAGGGGGAGGAGGAGGAGGAGGAGGAGGAGGAGGAGGAGGAGGAGGAGGAGAGGAGGAGGAGGAGGAGGAGGAGGAGGAGGAGAAGGAGGAGGAAGAGGAGGAGGAGGAGGAGGAGGAGGAGGAGGAGGAGGAGGATGAAGAGGAGGAGGAGGAGGAGAAGGATGAAGAGGAGGAGGAGGAGGAAGAGGAGGAGGAGGAGGAAGAGAAGGAGGCCCTCTCCCTCTTGCAAATTGCGGGTAGGCCGCAGGCTTCTTCCAGGTTGCGCGTGCAGAGTGGGAAATGGCGCCTCCCCGTGGGCCCCCCTTAACCACGGGCTCCAGTTTCGAGCTTCGAGCCTCTGATTCTGCTTGTCGTCTTCGCGCGAGTGAGGCTGCGTGCGGGCTGCCAGGCTGTTGGGAGCCACGCACTCTTGTTCAAACATTGTCAATCGCGTGCCAGTGGTGTCTCGATTGTGCGCCGACTGTTGTTTGATGGAGTTCCATCGGTTCGGTACTACTGTCGTTTCTCGATCGTTCCCTCTTGGAGATTAGTCGTTGTCGTCGTCGTCGTCGTCGTCGTCGTCGTCGTCCATTGTAGTCGTCGTCGTCGGCGTCGTCGTAGCATTCCTCCTCCCGTCGCCCTCGTCTTCAACATTCTATTGCAAGAGTGTTTCACGCAAATGCTGTGGCGTCGGCAGACGTTGTGCTATGGTGTACAAAAGCGCTCTGAGCGTTCCTCCTCTCGTCGTCCCCGTCTTCTTCATTATATTGCAAGCTGCTTCACGCAACTGCTGCTGTGTCGACAGGCGCTGTGCTGTGGTGTACACAAGCGCTCTGGTGCACGTAGGCGATGTGGTGTACGGCCAGTGTGTGTGGTGCACACGGCTGGGGTGCTGTGCGCAGGCGCCATGGTGCACAGAAATGGTCCAGTGCACGCAGGTTTTGTGGTGTGCAATGGCACTCTTGCGCACGCGGGTGTTGAGGTGCACAGAGGCGGTATGGTGTACACAGGCGATGTGGCGCTAGAGTGAACAGAGGCACCGTGGTGTACAAAGGCGCTGTGGTGCACTCAGGCGTCGTCGTAAACACACCTATATTGCGCCGGTGTTGCGGGCGCACCCCGCCACCCCCCCTCCCCCACCCCCGGGTAACACGTGTTACCCCCAATGGATGAAGCAACGATCTTTTTGGTTCCTTGTTCGTGGGAGGGCGGGAATCATTCTACTGTGCCGCGGAGCCGCTCCGGATTCATTGTTGGGTGAAGGCGGGTCCTGGGTCAGTGGGAGGGGGGCGGGTGAGTCTCGGGAGCCTGGGCAGCTTCGAAGTTTTGAGGGCCACCTTTTGGCAAGTCGGTTGCTCACTCGGGCACCCTTTGACTCTTCCCGCTGCGCCCTGGTTATTCGATGCCCCAGGGGTCCGGTACGAGATCGGTTCTGGCCAGCCCGATCCAATGTGAGTCCGACAGTCCGATGGTCGGTCCGATGTGGCTTGAGGCTCGCGCGGCGCGGTCTTTGCATCGGGGCGTGGCCGTTCCGCTCGGATTCCCGTGGCGGCGCGGCACGACCCGACGCACATTCCGATCCTCAGCCGCGCGCAGAGGGGGTTGGGGGGGAGGGGGGAGGGCTTCTTAGAAGAACCCCTGTTTCGTAGAAGGCGCGGGCCTTTTCTAGAAATGTAAGGCCGGCGCCTTCTAAGAAGCAGCCTCCTTCTAAGACGCCCTCCCCCCTCCCTACACCCCCTTGTGCGCGCCGCCAAGGTCCGACACCGTTTCCCAGTTCGGTGTTGCTTGATCTTGATCTTGCCCCTTGTTCCGATACAGTTTTGTTGTTTCTTGCGTCCTTGTTGTTCTTTCTGCTGGGCTGGCCGGCGGGGGCGCAGTGCTCAAGGTCTCGCTAGTGGTAGCGCGTTAGAACTCGTGATAGTACCCGCACACTGCTCTCGAGCAAATATCTGGTTGGGGATATTACCCGTGGACTTGTTTGCAGAATCGAAAAAGCACTTTTATAGCCTTCGTAAGAAATGCGATGAGTAATATCTCGACCCTATCTTTTCACATCGAGTAATGTTCGACGATCTTGCGAGTCTTGCCAGTATCTTTCGGAGCCCCGAGTGGCTTGCGCCCTGGGCACGAACCCACCCACAAGCCCGTCACAGCTCTGGTCGGCGGCGACTTGGCTCGAAGCCGCGGTTGTGACAGCGGGGGATGCACCCCGTGCCCCAATTGTGTGCACAGCTTGGCGGCGGGCTAAGGGGGGGGGAGTGAGGAGGGGAAGGCCTTCTCAGGAGGCTCTGAAGTTCCCCGGACGTCCGAGAAGTGCTCTGAGCCTCCCACGAAGACACACAAACATCTTCTCAGGAGGCGCCCGGGCTTCTGAGAAGCCCCGCCGCCTTTGCGAAGGCCTTCTCCTTCTCATGCCCCCCCTTCGCCCGCCGCCAAACAACAGGGGGGCAACAAGGGCGCGACGAAGGGGGGAGAGGACGCCGCGGGCGGTGGAGCACGCTCAGAGCATGAAGCTCTTGCGCGAGTGTGCCGCAGCACAGGCTTACACAGGCAGAAGACAAGAGTGGGGAGGGGACAGTCTGTCATCTCACGAGTAAAGTATCCACCGAAGTGGCCAGTCAGGTGAATAGTGTTGCTGGTGATTTCTCCGACCGCATGCTACACATCGGCTGTGCACACGCACGCACGCGCACATGCACGCTCGCGCACGCGCACGCGTCGCGCGCGCTCAGGATCGGGCTCGTTCTGTGGCCCGGGCCCCAGGCTCGGGCTTTGTCTCAAACTCGCTGTCGGGCTCGGGTTCGGGCTTGCGCTTGGGCTGGCGTTGAAGTGGTCCTGTGGGTTGTCGCGGGGCTGTCCCGTGGGATGTCCCGCGGTTGCCCTGTGAATGTCCCGTGGATTGTTTTGTGGTCGTTTTTGCATTGTCCCCTGGGTTTTCCCGCGGTGGTCCCGCCGATATTCAATGGCTCCACATGCGCGTTCATAGGCGAGTGATTGCGTCTATCGGTGAACGCATGCGCACGCGCAATCGCATGTTGAATTGCATGTGCGCGTACGTGCATGTTGGTACCCACGAGGCCATTAAAAGCATCTACCCGGGACGGTTCCCGGTGGCCGGACAACAAGTGTCCATTCCAATGGCGCGCAGACCTTATCATGCGATGTTGGATAATATTACATGTTTCGCATAACGTATTTCCAAACCCCTTCCTTCCATGTCAATTTGGGTTGGGGGGAGGGGGCTATCTATTTGTTGGATGCACTTCGCCGAACCGTTGCCTTGGCGCGATGGGCGTGGACACTTTTTGTCCACCCACCGTAGCGTCGATTTGCAAGAGCCAGCAAGGTGGCATGGGAGGCCCCAATGAGTTGCCACCGAAGTTGTGTTCAGTCTTGCGCAGGGCGAAGCGATCGATCGCGCGAGCGCGAAGCCCGCAGCGTGGCGTCATTAAGCACAACAGGACCCGTACTACCCCTGACCCTAATAATCCAATTACTTCGCGGCCTAACCCAGGTCCACAATGTTGAGGGATATTATTGCAGATGTGTGTGTTTTCGTCAAATACACGTCTGGCACGAAAAGACCCCCTGTCCTTCAGGTTGTTTTTTCTCCTAACTTAGGCCCCCTCCCAAAGAATTGGGATTAAGTCGGGTATGTCCCTCTACAGGAGGAATATTCAAACCTAGTCAAGAAATGGTCTGGGACGATGTTACGACGGCTTTCGATTGTTCATGAGTACGTTTTGTTGTTATTTTTCCTCCAGAATCCGCCTGTAGGAGGACTTGCCCGACCTAAGATTAGGGGTACTCTTCTTTCCCATCATGGTACAGCCGGAGTGCGAGCTCTGCCCGCCCCGCTGTGCTTGGGCGCCGCCGCTGCCCACCCTTCCGCTGGCAATGGGCCCCCCTCCTCCGCGGGCGGGAAACACGTCCGTACGGTGGAGGCCCATGCCAAGAAACACCCCGCTTGCCTCCAGGTGCCAGGGTTCTGATGGCTTTGTTGTGGAAGGCGTGACGTTCCCACACCCGAAATCAATGGCCGTCCTGAGGTCTCAGGTTATGATGTTCCAACCTACTTTAGCTTTGACCACCAGCAAGATTTTCGAGCGCACCCCAAAACTCGAGGGTTTTCAAGTGTCGGGCCCTGGGAGACACTGTTTCGACACTGTTTTGACACTCTTTCGACATTTTTCCGGGTGCCTGAAATTACTTCTGGGATGTGGTCCTTAAGTACGATGGAAGCAACATAAGTCTCAGGAATGGGTTTCTGGCGGAAGGTTTCTTCGGGCCCCTACTTAAGTCCGGCCCAGCTCGGCGGTGGCCTCGCGGAGAATTTTGCGCGGGCGCAGGCCTGAGGAACAGACTCCACAATCTACCGCCACTCCCGCTTGTCACTCCTTCGCCCCGCCTTTATTCCCACCAGCCCTCTGGGCGTCGGTGGTTCAGGGAGTTCCCTCTTCCACCCCTGCTTCTTCCCCTTCGGGGAGGGGTTTACCCCTCCCCATGCCCCCTCCCCGTGGACCTGGACGGGAGGGGCCGCGAGGTGTCAGGGCGTCCAAAACGACCTCGGCGAGAAAGCCAAAATCACTGGTTTTACTATGGTTTTGGCCCCATTTTGGCCTCCTGGGGGGGGAGGCTAATTAATACTCCGCACTTCTTTGATAGATCTTCTCCAAGATGGCCCCAGGAGGCCCCCAAGAGACCCCCAAGAGGCCCCAAGAGACCCCCCAGAGGCACCTAAGATGCTCCAAGAGGCCTCGGCGAGAATGCCAAAACGGCCTCGGCGAGGAAGCCAGAATCATAGGTTTTACTATGGTTTGGCCCCATTTTGATTAATGCTCCCCTCTTGTTTGATCGATCTCCTTCAAGATGGCCTCAAGAATCGCGAAGGAGGTCCCAAGAGGTCCCAGGATGGCCCCAAGATGGCCCCAAGAGGCCCCCAAGAGGCCCCCAGGAGGCCCCCAAGAGACCCCCGAGAGGCCCCAAGAGACCCCCCAGAGGCACCCACGATGCTCCAAGAGGCCTCGGCGAGAATGCCAAAACGGCCTCGGCGAGGAAGCCAAACTCATTGGTTTTACTAGGGTTTGGCCTCATTTTGGCCTCCTGGGGGGGGACGCTAATTAATGCTCCCCTATTGTTTGATCGATCTCCTCTAAGATGGCCCCAAGAAGCGCCCAGGAGGCCCCAAGAGGTCCCAAGATGGCCCCAAGATGGCGAGGCCTCCAAGACGCCCCCAGGAGGCCCCCAAGAGACCCCCAAGAGTCCCCAAGAGACCCCCCAGAGGCACACAAGATGCTCCAAGAGGCCTCGGCGATAATGCCACATCATTGATTTCAGGAAGGTTTTAGCCACATGTTGGCCTCTTGGGGGGGAGCACTGATTAAGATGACTCCAAGAGCGCCTGGGAGAGCCCAAGATAACCGCCAAGATGGCTCAAGATATCCCAAGATGTCTCATAATGGCTTCCTCTGTGTGCTGCCCACTTCCCTGATCCAGGCAATTCCTCTGGGCATCGTTTCTGGATGGGCTGGTGAGGTTCGCGAAGCGTCAACAATTCATCTCCTCCTCCTGCGCCTGGGAGCCGGCTGGGGGTCTGAGGTGGCCCAGAATCAGTGGTCTGGCGAGCAGGAATGGGGGGCGAGGTTCGAGATGCTGGGCTCGGCTCGAAAATTCGTTTGCCTCCGAGGCCTCCGAGGCCATCTTCGGGTTCCGGCAGGCCTTCAAAATCGGATCCGGGTGAAACATTGCACCAGATGGACCTCGAGAGAGATACAGAGACCACTTTTGAGTGGATCTGATCTTGTCCCCCCCGTCTTCACCGATTCTCTCGCGGGTTTTCCATCTCAGACCCCCTGGCCGCCTCCAATTCGTACCCACGGTCTCGCGGCCCTGGGCCGCGATCCAGTGGACACGGGGCGTGTTTTCAAGGATGCCCCGCGCGGGTGGTGTCCGTGCGACCGCACATCCGCGGGGTCGCGCCCCCGGCTCCAGACGGGGAGGGCGTGGAGATGGTGCCCGTTGCTCGCGGTGCCTCTCCCAGGAGGTCCTGGGCCGCGTAAGTGTTTTCAAGGATGCCCCGCGCGGGTGGTGTCCGTGCGACCGCATGTCCACGGGGCCGCGCCCCCGACTCCGGGCGGGGAGGGCGTGGGTACGGTGCCCGTTGCTCGCGGTGCCTCCCCCAGGAGGTCCTGGGCCGCGTAATCGACGTGGCCATGAAGCTGCGCAGGATCTGACTGCCAGTGCCGGCCTCGCCTGCCAGAGAGAAGCCTCGGCAGGTTCGCGCGATATCCCCGACGCTGTGGCGGCGCCTGGAGGGGGCCGAATTCCGGCAAAGAGTAGACTTAAGTTGGGCATGTCTTTCTTCAGGAGGAATTCTCAAAAATAGAAAGAAAAAGTCAGGGGACGATTTGTCGTTTATTTGCGATTATTTTGGAATTTCTCTTTTTGTTTACATTTGTCCTCCAACATCCGCATGTAGGCGGACATGCCCGACCTAAGTGTAGACGGCGAGTTGGGGTCCAAGCGAGCGTTTCGAGGATGTCGACGGCTCGCTCGCTACGGGAGTTCCTGACCAGAGGCCGAATTGAAGTCGGGAGTGGTTCGTCCAAAGCGTCGTCGGAGATTCTGGTAACGGATGATTCGGGTCGCGCGCCCCGTGGCGCATCGAGAGCAGCCGCGGCTCGCAATCCACACGGCATCAGAGGAGGAAAAAGTACCGATACCGGTGTTCGTCTTGGAGACCTCTCGTCGCCATGGCTGGATTCTCTCCGTCATCGATGCACCTGGGGAGGTCCCGGAGCAACGTGGTGCTATCGTCACCCGCTATTCCCCCGCCGATTGTGCGGTCGTCGAAGACTGCTCAAGACTGAGCGGCTCACAAAGTGTCATAATCGAGGGCCGATGTCATCACGGCATGAACGTGCCGCACCGGAGGGGCCGCTTCTCTGCCGAGGCTCGTTTGTTGTTAATGTCAAGGCCGCGTGTACAGCTTGCGGCAGCGCCCGGCAGTCATCCCTCTGCGCCTGCCTCCTCCTCCTCCTCCTCTTTCTCTTCTTCCTTTCGACGTTAGAATAACACTAGGTGAGATGCCTGTTGCGTTCTCCTCCTCCTCCTCCTCCTCCTCTTCCTCCTCCTCCTCTTCTCTTCCTTTGACGTTCGACTAACATTAGCTGTGATGCCTGTTGCGTTCTCCTCTTCCTCCTCCTTCTCCTCCTCCTCCTCCTCCTCCTCCTCCCCCCATCCTCTTCCCCACCCCTTCCTCGTCAACGCACTGCCTCTCGCATCCTGCTCCTCCTTGTCTCCTCTTCCTGGCCTTCTCCCCCCCATCCGCCACCTGGCGAAGGCCCCGCCTGTGACCCCCGCCTGGGGCACGCGTTCGCGCACGCGTCTCTGGCCCAGCTCGGCATTGGTCGCCTCGCGGAGAACTTCGCGCGGGCACAGCGCCGAGGAAGAAACCCTCCACTCTCCCGCTCCCCGCTTCCTCATGGCACTCCTTGGCCCCCTCTCTCTCTTGTCCTCCTTCTCCTGTGCCCATTTCCTCCCGCGCCAATATCTGCTCTTTTGTTTCATCAGGTTCCGTTGCCCTGCAGCCTGTAACTCCTGCAGAGCTGGCCAGGACTGCATCATCGGCTGAACTATACAACAGCGGCTGATTTCTCGAGAACGGCTGCCTCTTCTTGGGAAGCCGTTGCCTTCCTGCTCAGATGGCGCCCTTTGCGCACCTCGGCTGGTGCGACGATGGCGTTCTGTCTCCCATGACGGAAGTGCAGGCGAAGATGGAAGTTGTTACATAACCCCCAGATCAGTTCCGTCCACCAGTTCGGACCGCAAAGTACGAGTCAACGGGGTTTCTAGTTGCCCGAAGTTCTTCTTCCATGACGATTTGATGCCCGTCTTGCTATATTCCTAACCTTCAGCTGAATTGTCCGAAAGCGAGGCATGTATCAATCCACGCGCATGCAACCTGCATCATCTGTTGTGGGCGCATTTCGAAAATCATGCCACACCGCCATTCTGGATGCAACTTCAGCGAACTATAGAAAAATCACGAACGAACTGGAAATATTGACGGTGCTTGTCCCATCTGGACAGCGGCGCCAGCGTTTGCTGCAGTTCGCTCGCCTGGGGGTCAGGTCCTGTGACCGTCGGCCGATGTGCCACCGCCGCCGCGTCGCCCGTCGGGGGCCGTCTCGGCCCGACTGGGTCCGATTCGGCGGCGTTCTCGGCCGCTGCGGCCCGATGCGCTCGCCGACTTCAGCCACGCGCAGAGGGGGGTGGGGGGAGGGGGGAGGGCTTCGTAGAAGCACCCCTGCTTCTTAGAAGGCGCAGGCCTTCTCTGTACATGTGAGGCCAGCGCCTTCTAAGAAGCAGCCTTCTTCTAAGAAGCCCTCCCTCCTCCCCCTACAGTCAATAAACCCTAATAAGGACGCGCGACTGTGCTCAGGGTACCCTTGCGTCCTTGCTCTTCCTTGCTCTTGCGTCCTTGAGGTTTTCGTCGTCCGCCGCCCCAGAAATCCCAACTTCGGCTTCCAAGGGTCTTGCGTCCTTACCGCGCGTCCTTTGTCAGGATTTCTGACTGTACCCCCTTGTGCGTGCCGCCATCTCGGCCGCGGCGGTCCGCTGCGCTTCTGCCGACTCCTCGCTGCGGCCCGCTGCGGTCGCTGCAGAGGCGTGCAGGGCGCCGCGCGGGGCGTCCACGGCGCGGCCGCGGCCCGCCCGATATCCCGGGGCGTCCGTGCCGCCGCGGCCCGGGAGGCGGACGCACGTGCTGGCCCGATGGTCTTAAGGGGGATGTTCGACGAGAAACCAAAGACACCCCAAAGATAAGCCAAAAAATAGTCCAAAAATCGTATGGGGCTTTTTTTTTGAGTATTTTGTGGCCTCTTTGGGGTATTTTTTTTTTGTTTGTCGAGAATCCCCCTGTAGGGGGACACGCCCGACATAACGATTCTCCGATGTCCCCCGGGCCTCCTCTGGCCGCCCAGTCCGTTCGGACGGTGCGGACGGGTCGTTCGTGTCCTGTTGCGTATCTCTCTGCTGTCCCTGTCTGTTCTTGTTTCTCCTCCAGGTCTCTCTTTTTGTCTCGTCTTGTCCCTTTGTGCTTCGTGTCGTCCCATGTGCACCGGCATCGGCCGATGCCAATGCCGATGTTCGGCACCTGCAGTCGGCGTCGGCCGATGCCGACTGTTTTGGCCCTCCCCCCCGCGGCGTCCGCTCGGGGCACCCCCGCCCGCACGGGCCGGCGGCGGCGACCCTGTCGAGGCAGTGGTGGCCTTCCGGTGACGTTCCTGCGCATCCTCTCTGGGCCTCCTGGGAGTTTCTCGTAGCCCTGGTTGGATCTTCAGAGGAGGAAAAGGTACCCATACCTCTACCCTTTCCTCGTTTTCCTCTTTTTGGGCCTCCTCGGAGGCCCTCGTGGCCACCGCTGGATTCGCCTCGAAATTCTGGTCAGAACGCACCCCGAAAGGGGTCCAGGGAGTAGCGGTATCGGTATACCTTTTGGTTTCCCCAGATCTGCCTCGGACGGCCGTGCGCTCTGAGAAGGCTTCCGGAGCCGCCAGATCTCAGAGATCCTCTTCGTCCTACTGCCTGGAAGAGCGGGTCGGGATGGGCCCAGGGAGGGGTCCCCGCGGACCGCTCTCAAGAGGGTTTTCGTGGCTGGGCGAGCAAGTCGCTGGTTGATGTCTTGGCATCGCTCGGACGCGTGCATTTGCTCTCGGCGAGGACCATCGGGGAACATCCTGGACCACCTGGCGAACAAGAGCACGCGCGGAGGAGCGACACAAAATGCTCGGGGAATGGACGCCAGAGCGATGGCAGGCGGTGTCGCGCGGCGTTCCTCCGGGGCGCCGCCGCCCATCTCCTCGGACTCTCTCCGAGGCGCCCGGGGGGGCAGCTCGAGCGAGGGGCATGGGCTCGGGGCGCACGGAGCCCCAGCTGGAAGTCGGGCCTGGCCCTCTGCAGGAGGGATGTGGAAGGCGACTAATGGAGAGCAAGCGTGCTGCCAAGTAGTTTCCAGATGTCTAAAAGATGTTTCAAACATGTCACATGTATAAACCATGTTTGAAACAGTTTTAGAACATGCTTTACACATTTTAAACACATATCAAATTCAAGTATTGGATTGTTAGAGTGTCCATTGTCATGGCATCCACAACAGGAGGGAAATTAAAAATAATAATAAAAAAAACATAGTCAAGGAACGATTTTCTGAGTATTTTTGACAGCTTGGGTGTATCTGTTTTTGGCTATATTTTATCTTTCGTCCAAACTCCCCCTGTGACGAGAGGGCAGGCCCGGCTTCACCCCAGCTCGCCCAGGGATCGCCGAGAGGGGCCCAGGTGCCCCCATCCCCGCCCAGGAGCGTGCGAGTGTGCGGGGCACCTGGGGCCCAGCACTGATCCCAGCTCGATGCTCCCCCCCCTCCTCCTCCCCCCCCAGCCGGGAGGACAGCGGCGCAGCGCCTGAAGCTGCCTATGAGGCGTGGTTCCCGCGGCCCCCGCCTGGTTTCAGACCCCCCCGCTGGGGCGGTGGCCACCGCAGGGCCTCCGCAGCCAGCCGGTCTGGAACGCCATTCTTAGACCACACCGCCTCTTCGGGAACCACGGTCGACGTCGCTTATCTTGACCCGCGCAGCAAGTCGCTGTTTTGCCACCCCCGAGCCGCTCAAACCCATACTAACTCAAGGAAGGAAAAACCACCCGGACCCGACAATCGGCGTTTACTACACGGCTGTGGGCGTTTATTCAAAATAGCCTTGCCTTGTTTGATTCCTTCTGTGGGTGCGTTTACTAAACGGCTTCGCGTGTCGGGGTGATCATTATGGGGGTGGATTTTCTGCCCTCTATGACCGTCCCACCTCACAAGCCAGCTGCGTGTGCTGATTCGCCAGTCCCCCTCTCTGATTACCGCGCGTCTTCGGGGGGCGTTTGCTCCCCTGCCCTACACACGGCGGCCTTTCTCTTGCACCCCGACGCGGACGTTGGACGCTCGACGCCGACTCGACGCGGATCGCGGCGCGACGGGACAGACAATCGGCGTCGGCGTCGGCGTCGGCGCCGTCGCCGCGCGAGGTGCTCGTGGCCCCCTCCCATCTCGGAGGTGCTCTCGAGGCGGCCCGCGGCGCGTCCGCCCGTGCGGGCTGCGGTGGAGGCAGGCCCCCGCGCTCGCCCCCTGGGCCTCCGACGATCCGCTCGGCAGCAGCTCGTGGGAGCCTTGTGTGTCTGTGTCCTCG